CCAGCTCCCCCTGCTCTAACCCATCAGACCCCACTCCCCTTCCCTCCCAGAGCCAGGGAGAGAAGCCAGGAGTCCTGGTTCCCAGCACCCCCCTGCTCTAACCACCAAACCCTGCTCCCCTCCCAGAGCCAGGGAGAGAACCCAGACGTCCTGGCGCCCAGCCCCGCTCTAACCACTAGACCCCACTCCCCTCCCGGAGACAGGTCCATGGCGGAGAACTGCTCCCCCACTCCCGCTATCTGAGCAGCCCTCGAGGGCCTGGGGCGATCCCCAAACCCGCACCGCTGACAAACAGGCCGCGCCCCACGTCTCCGGGGGAGGGGGGGCCCTGCTGGCTTCGGGCCTCGATTCCCGCCCCCTTCGCACTCTGCCCCGAGCCATGCGGGCTCCTGCCCCCCAGTGTCCCCAGCCCGTGGGGCAGGAGGATGGGGGTTGGGGACGGGGGCTGCCCCGCACGGGGTCAGACCCACAGCGCGTGGGGAGGGGGCGTCTCACACGTGTTACACCCCTGGCTGCACAGGGGTTGGCACCTGTTCCAGCCCCCCCGGGGGCCGCGCGGGGTCACCCCGCACCCACCCCCATTGGCTGGCCCCTGGCGGCGCGGGGGTCCGGGTGCTGGGGGGGGGGCAGCTGGGCTCCGTGGCCCCCAGGCTCCCCCATGGGGGCCCCCCACCTCGCACCGGCGGCGGAGCAGCCAATTGGGACAGAACAAGGGAGGGGCCGAGCCGCGACCCCCCCCCCGCCGGGTGTGCGGGGCCCGATCCTGCCCCCAGGCCCCCGCTCGGGGCGGTCAATGGGGTGAATCCAGCCCCCCGCTCCCCCCGCACTCACCGCAGCCCTGGAGTAGCAGGAGCCCGGCCAGGCAGAGCCGCCAGCGGGCCATGGCCCGGCCGGAGCGGGGGTCCCCGCCGGCCCGGGGGGGTCAGAGCCCGGGGCCGCGGGGGGGCCGAGCCATGGGGAGCCCCGCGGGGGAAACTTTCTCCAACTCGCCGCTGCCGCTTTCCGCGCCGCCCCCGGGTCCGGTCCGGTCCGGTCCGGTTCGGGTGCGGGTCCGGTTCCCCGACCCCCCTGGCGCTGGCGGAGCTGCGGGCTGCGAAGCCGCCCGGCGCCCATTGACCCGCCCGCGGGCCGGCCGGGGGGACCGGCGCAAGGGGGGGCGGGGGAGGGAGCGTCCGTCCAATGGCAGCGCGGCGCCAGGTGACGGGCTGGGCTCGCCCCGCCCCGCCCCCCCAGTCCGGCTCTGCGGGTTCGGGGGGGCCCCGGCTGCGCCTCTCACTCGGCCCCGAAGCCTGCAGCCCCCGGGGGCTGGCGAGGGACGGGGCCCGATCCGGTGCCCCCAGCGTGGAGCCGCCCCAGGCTCAGACTCCCCCGGGAAGTTGGGGAGCATTCGCCGGGCAGCCCCCCCCCCGGCGGCAGAGGGCCGCGGGGTGCAGAGATGGGCCGGGAGGGGCCCCGGGTTGGGAGCAGCCCGAGGCGGGGGTGTTTTTTGGGGGGCTGGGACACAAACCCGGGATGGACTGTCCGGGGTCGGGGTCCGGAGCCCCCAGATCTCTGCTGGCAGCAGGGGCCGGGCGACCGCCAGCAAAGAGTCCAAAGAGAGACTGTCTGTTACCCGGCGGAACTCCCCGCCGCGGGTGGCTCTGAAGCCAAGACTCGCCAGGCTGGGCCATAGCTGGTGTTTGGGTTAATCCAACCCAGGGGCGGGGGGACCCCCCCCATCCGTGTTCCGGGCGTTAAGCTGATCTCTGAGCGGGGTGGGGGCAGCTCCGTCCACCGGGGGTCCCGTTTCTGGTGGGGGCTGCGGGCGGGGATCCTGCCTGCGGGGCCCCCGCAGCCCTGGCGCGCAGGTGAGGGGCTCTGGCGAGGGAGCCCAGGCAGCGCCGCTGTCCCAGGTGCTGAAATCTGTCCCTGGCCGGGAGAGGGGCTACTGGGGTTGGGGGGCGGGTACCGCCACCCCCCGGGCCATGGGCTG